CGCACTGTGTGATGAGTCCGTTCGTATGTGAAACTTCTTCAGACTTCACCTTAGATGCATTTGCCTGCTGACAGTCGCTCTTGGGGAAGACTTAAAAATACACAGCAAAACCTGGCTGATGAAAGCAGGTTGTCTAGAAAGCAGGTTGTCTGGCAGAGGTGGCCTGGCAAGCCTGGCATGGAATTGTGCTGGGCATCCTTGGGAATGCTTCAGGATGGGCTCTCCAGAGGACTTCACGTCCCGCCAGCATTAAGGCTTGTGGGGTTGCTGTGCTGAGTGAACTGAGCTGTGTTTGTTTCCCAGCCTCGTAGGGTGCCCTGGCCCTGGGAAGGGCGTCCCTGTAAGTGCGGTGGGAAGGACGAGCACGAGAGCAGCTTCCATAGCCGCGGTGTGCTCTGCCTTTAGTCATCCCTGCCCTTTTGGCTCCTTTCTGCCGTGATGCCTCTGAATGGCGAATCGACAGCTTGAATCTTTAACTGAGCTACCAAGATGTCCCTCTCTTTTAAATGAACCCTCACCTAAGCTTACTGCTGTAACCCTCATTCTTCTCTGCTCCTGCCCTCACTTGTTGTTTTGTGTTGAATTTTAGACTGTAAGTTCTTGAGAACAGGGGCTTCTGCTCTTCTGTAGCGGAAAGAGGCTGGGTGCAATTCTGGCGTGCTATACAAACAAAGTGATTAATACCAAGATGTATCCGTGGTGAGTAATGATGGGACAACATGTAGGCATTCCATGGCAAGGCCTTGGGAAACTTGCGTTACAGTTTTTCCAAAATATGGGCTTGGTTGTCAAGCAATGCCTCGGACAAACCCAACGCGACTGAAAGGGTGTGCGATCACGGAAGCGCGCGGGACTAGTGCTCTGGGGGTGGCAACAACTGTGAGGCTACCGAGTTAGGGTCCAATTTACCTGTCTAAAAATAATTACATTATTAAAGTGGTTCCAAAAGATTTGTGTTTTGTTGTTTGTTTTATTTTTTTGCAAGTTTTGAACAGTGGTAGTGGATGAGTTGGTTTTGTTTGTAATCTCTTGTTTCCTGCCTCACAAGCTAGGCAGGTGCTGTAGCTTTTGGACAGCAATCCCTTTAATAAAATACTTGCTTTTAGGTTAAAGTTGATTTGAAAAATGGAGTCATCTCTATTGTTCTTCAGTTATATCTTCACAAAAGTGAAATATGGCCTCACATTCGACCTCTCAGTGTGCATTTGAACAGTTACCAAAATGGAAGTCTGCATTTTTTGCCATACTCTGGGTTCCAGGTATTGCTAAATATGTGCAGTTTTGTTCTACAGAAAGCATATTCATTACCATATTTTTTACTTATTTATATTTATCATTAAAATTCAATAAAATAAAACCAGTCTGACTACTACTTGGGTTATTTTTGATTGCTGTAGCCTAGAGTTCAGTTTTCTATCAGAGACCAGGAATCACTTTGATAAGCTTTGGACAGGAAATAAATTAAAACATACTACTCTGAAAGGTTATTTGAAATCTATTTAATTTTTAAGTTTAGTTTGCCTTTCTGCTTATGTTAATTGTTTTTAAATAAAACTGCATGACCATTTTACTGTAATTTAAGTAATTTAGTCTTTAAATAGAGGCTGGGCATCCCTTCTTGGGTTGCCCTTCCAACCTTACCTTGGGTGTTTGCCTGCATCAGCTTGTCAAGCTGAACAGTGAAGAGGAATATTTGAGGGAGAAAGCAAGCTTAAATAATTATGCTTTGTTGCCATGTGGTTTTTTTTTTTTTTTTCTTGAGTTGTAAGAAGTAAATATTTTTAAGGACAAAAAGCCCTTCAAGCTCAAGTTTGGGGGCTGCTGTGCCTCCCCGTTGGCGTGCGCGGTACCCGTGCATTTGGCATCTCTGTGTTTCCCAGGGGCTTGGGCTGCCCTGCGGGTTGAGCAGAGCGCTCGCCGCAGCCTCCTGGCCTTGGCACGGCCCTTCCTCGCGCGCTCTTGGTTTCCCCTGCTCTTAGTTGTCTCCCCTGGCTCCCGTGGAGCAGCACGGCACCAGCCCCACGCGTGCTGGGGCCCTGGCAGGCTGGCTACAGCTGGCACTTGCCTTTTGCCTTCCTTGGCAGTCAAACTGTCACACCATAGTGCATGAAATGCCTTAGACCACGTGCTTGCACCACCAACAAGCAACAACCCTGCTTGACCTGAGCTTGTCCTGATGCCTGCTGTGAAGGCCCAGAGGTTTTTTTGTTGTTTTATTTTTTTAAAGACAGTTGCTGATTATAGCTGGTGATGTCATGGGTGACACACTGTTATACAGCACATAACACTAACTTTATCTTCCAGCTGAAACCCGCTGCACATGGCTATTTCCTGTGTTATTGGGTGTTGCAGATATAAGTGCTGTCACGTTTTCCTAGGTCTGTGTGCAATCTGTCAAAATAATTCTTGAAGTCCAGCCTCAGTTCATGGTCCCATTACGTTTCATACATGTGTGTGTAAGGAATTGGAGCTGTGTGATATGAAATGTTAACCTAGCAGGCTTGAATGCCAGATGTGACAGCCTACCCTGTCTGAGTTTATAACCCGACCTTGTGTGCCTAAGGAATATATCTATGGATTTTACTTAGGTTTGGAAATAGAATCATTCACTGTGCGAGTTCATTGGGATGGAGCAGGGCTTGTAGTTTTTGAAGTTGCATGCTTGTGTTGTTGCCTTTAAAAATAAATAAGGGATAATTGCTAGTGCCTTGCCTTGTCACAGCAGTCATAAATGCTTTATAGGATCCCAGTGCGGTGTGGGCGCTCCCCAGCAGTGGTACCTGGACCTCACCAAATGTGATGTTTTAAGGTCTTCCCGGGGCAACGAGAGCAGTTGTGGGGTCAACATGCGGTTACTCCGCTGGGCGGGAGGTGCAGAGTTTGCCCTGGTTTGTGTGTAGCTGCGTGCTAAGGGGGTCAGCGGGCCGTACCCGCCGTGCATGCCTTGCTCGGTGCAGAACTCCCTGCGCTGCATGGGGAGAGTGGAATTTCAGCTGAGGAGCCTAATCCTGTCGTCAGACGTGGACAGATCGTGTTTGATGCCCTGGTCTTGCCAGTTAAAACGCATTAGAGAAGAACTGATTTTGCTGTGTGTAGGTGGATAATGTGGTATATTTTATTGCCTGCATTTGATATAGGGATTGGAGCCTGCCTGCTTCCCCCACTCCAACTGTATATTTTACTTTATGCAGCAGGCTAGGGACCAGGTTTTACCACAGCTAACTTCCAGGTTGCTTTATTCCAAGATATTATACCTGCTGTGGTAGACCTTCAGCCTCACAGCTGATAGCTTGAAGATTTAAAGCGCGTATATCTCAAATATCTCTTATCTAGGACAGGTTAGAAGTGAATATAACTAACATCTATTTGGCTATAATGTATTTGTTAGTGACAGTAATGGAAAAATGATAGAGCAGAGCCCCTTTAGGATAAAGAAAGTGTTGGGTTTGGAGTGGAACTGTTCATTATGGCTTTATTTTAATGCATTTTTAGTTCTGTGGGTATGTGCTGCCTATCACAGCGCTTCACTAAAGCGAGCACCTCCCCGAAACGCGAGAGCTGCACGGTGCAAACCAGCCTGCAGCGCGGAACTGGGGAGAGCTTCTCCACCTTGCACCGCGTCACCGTCTTCGAGTGCTGTCCGTGGTGCCCTGGGTGCCCCTTCAGCCCCGAACCTCTGAAAGGGGAGGTTGCAAAACGTGTGTTTGCTCGAAGCACACAACCTGCTCAGCCGCAATTATCTCCTAATCTGGTCCTTCCGAGTTTCTCCGGTCTCTCAGGTAAATACAGATCTAGCCGTTATTCAAGGCATATTATTTACCTCATTAAGTGTGTGTTTTGGCACGTGCATTATTTACCTGATGGACTAACGGATAGGAAAGAGCAAATGTGTCTTTTGTGCAAATAGCAGCTTTGTTCGCGGGCTGCGAGTCTGCTCCTTTCCACGTTCCACTTTTCATGGAGAGAGCGGGAATGGGGCTCCTCCGAGGGGAGGCTGCTCTGTGTCCCCACACGGATGGGAGGCACGAGGCCCCGTGCGCCCCATGAGGACCTTCTTGCCCAGAGCCATGAGCAGGCCGTGCCCTTCATGTCCTGGCCATGCAATTCCCTTTGTGTGGGAATTACCTCCTGGCCTGGCTGGGTCCCTGTATCTGTTTACCCTGTGTAGAAAGGTATGTATATATGTGTAATAGACTGTTGGAGAAACAGAAACCTCCCAAGACTATGGCTGAGATATATGTACATATATATATTCATATATATATATATATTTTTCCCCTGATTAGAAGGGACGGAGACGTATTGCATCTTGCTTTCCTAAAATGAAAGCTTGGCCCTGGCAGTTCATCTTTGGGATTGGTGCAGCAATCTCCTCCTCTGACAAATGTCTGAAGCAAGAAATCTAATACCTGAGTAGAGTCACATCTGTGTGAAACCTGGTATAGGTGCGAATCTCCATGGAGGGCGTCCCTTGTAGCCAACAGACACGTGGGTTTGTAACGGGAGTGGGAGGTGCAGGTGAGGCACTTCCAATGCCAAGCTGTTTTGTTGGGTTGGAGTATTGGTATGCGTCCTACTGTGTTTAATTCCTGCCGCGTTTCGGAAGTTGCGTTGTGTATGAAAAGACTAAAGGCTTTCCCAGAAATTTGAGTGGTTTTTGGATCAAACTGTATTTGCTTAAGTGATTTAGCGTATTCTGCTATGATAAGGTTCAGTGGGGATGTGTGATCTGGCACCTGGAACAGTGATTGTGTCTCATAGCTCTTAATTTAGAGCTGTTTGCAGAGGTTAATTTCCAGGTGCCCATACTTCTAGCCACCTTGAGCTCCATCCAAATGCCACCTGTCGTGCTTAGAGCAGGCTACTGTGTCATTGCAGATTTCTAATGCCAGCCCTTCCACCGGGAAGCACAGAGAAAATCTGTGACAGCGGAGTGAGGATGAAGAGAGGAATAGCAGAGGTGAGATGTATATGTGCATAAGTAACAGGAGTCTCTCTTCAGTTTCAGATGCCTCTGGATGTTCAATGGTAGCACTCCTCCATACTGGAGCAGCCAAGTTTCCCCGAAACTTACTTCCAAGGGTGAGACAAGCTGTGTGCTCCGTCCTCGCGGCTGGTGTTCTCAAAGGGTACGGCTCCATCGTAAGCAGGAAACTGGCGTCCCACGGCTTTGGAGCTTCCATGGCAGCAATGTCATCCTTCCCTCCACAGAGATATCACTACTTCTTAGTGCTGGATTTTGAGGCCACATGTGATAAACCACAGATTCATCCTCAGGTAAATAGCTGATGCTGTTAATTCTCCCTTTGCAAGCTGCTGCTGCCATTCTGGGAGAAGGAAAAGCCACACTGCCAGGTAGCTCCTTTTCCCTGGTTTGTCCCACCTTCTTTTTGTTGCTGGTCCTCTAGGCCTCTTATCAGTCCTCTGCTCTCATGAGCAGCACCGAGTCCATTCAGTGGGAATTAAATGAAGGACCCTGATTTCTATCAAGGAAGTGAAAATGCATGTTATCAGTGTGTTATCAAAAATGCTTTCTTAGGTCATGTATGCTTGTCATCTGCCTGAACCGGGGAGGGGTATGAAATTGCTGGCTGGGAACCTACGTTATTTGCATACTCAAGGCAGCCTTTTCTGATTCTGCAAGGAAAAAGGCTGTTACTAGCCAATAGATTTAGGAAAAAAAAATTGAGATGATAAAAATATTTGCAGAAATGTTTAATGGTGCTTCTGAGTAGTTGGGAACAATACTTCTGACTGTCTGATCTTGCTGCATTTGTCTTACCTAAGTATTCACTCCAGAGTATAATAAGTTGGGGACAATTCAGCCTTGGAGAGATTTTTCCAGTGCCTTAACTCTTAAGACAAGCAATGATCTAGATGAAGTGGAGAGGTTTTTCAGCAGACAGTTTTTTCATAATGATGAAAAGCAAATGAGTAAATATACTTTTCAGTGGCTAACAGGGTGGACATGGGGCTTCCATTTAAATTGGAAAAGCATGATTAAAAAAAAAACTGATATTGGATTGGTAACAAGTGAACAGATTTCAGAGTCTCTGCACTGACTTCATACTTTGTATCCACCTCTGTAGCAAGCAGTCAGCTTCCTGCTGGTATTGCCAGTAATGTGCTGCTGTCTATTTTCTTTGTTTCAAATATTCTGGAAATCAAGCATTTTCCAACATATTGTCTCATTACTCTGATGATTTACTGCAGGGAGTCTGTTTCCTAATGCAGCTGTGATTTCCTTTGGGCTTGTCCTGTCAAAGGGATGCTACAGGTTTCGGTCAAACTTGGGTCTCCTGCAGTGAGTGCGGCTAGTCTCATGTTTCCTGAAAACGGAGGGCAAATCCCTGCTTTTCTGCTGGGTCTTTGTGAGAGATGTTGTGTCTCTGCCTCCGGTTGTGCTAGGAAGGTCTTAACTGTTCTCCAAGTGAGATGTCAGGCTATTTCCTATACGCTCAGCCTCGGGTGCACAGACCTGTCAAAGCTGTAAATTGGATCTACCTTGTCCCTTTGGATATGGGCTTGGTCTGTGCACATTTTGATGCAAAACCATGATGCATGTGGAGCTAGTTTACAGCTGGCAGTAAAAAGGAGCATGAGTGGAATATGATTACTACTGTTTTAAGGAGCTTTGTCCCCAAGTCCTTGCCAGGGAAAGTAATGGTCTGGGCCAATGCAGATCTGCTATATATTTTGTTGGCGGGATAACACCTTTAAGGTGGAGATGTTCTTGGGTGTTGTTTTTCCAGTCTGCTGTGTTCAGTGCCTGTTTGTATTGTATCTTATGTGGTAATGGCTGTCAGTCACTCACATCCTCACAAAAAAATTACTTTGACAAATAAAGAAATGGCTCTGGCTCCACTAGAATCAGTGTAGCTCAAAGACTGAAGTTGTGTGCCTGAATTGAACGGTTCTGCAGAAATGAAACTCAGTTGCTGTCCCTACCTGCACTTTTCCTTTTTGCTGGCCAGATGAGTTTTTGCCCCATTCGCTTCTGGGCTTCTGGGTTCACTTCTGGGCTGCATGTTGTGGTGAGCAAACTGTGTTGTGCACGTCAGTGATGTGCCATGCAAGGGTTTACTGTGAGGTTCTTCCCCTGGAGCAGTGGCAGACGGATTTCAGAGACGTGGTCTGAGGACAGCAGTGGTCAGGTGTTGATCTTACCTGTGATCCTGGCTGTTTTTCTGCATTTGCTCATTTACCTGCCAAAAACAGCAAAATAGAATTTTGTTGCATCACCTGCTGCAGCTCAAGTGCACTGCAGTTTGTTGATGAGGCAGTTGCATGTAGAGTTAAGCTGTCATCCAAGTTATTTTAAGTGGGTCATCCTAGCTCTAAGCTTAGCCAGTTTGGCCTGAAAGTCTTGCAGAGTGTGTGTGCCACTGTGCAGCAGGGCTTCAGATCTCACTAACCGCTTTTAAAAAATTCCTGCTTATTACTGGAAAACTAGAGAAGGAGCTAAACTTTCATCTATGCTAAGGTGTTTGACTGCAGCGTTTGTTCTCCTTTCCACAGTATTTACTGGTGGTCAGTGCTGCTTTGCTGCCAGCAGCCTGGCTAACCTTATCCCTGGGAGATGTCCTTCGTGTCCCTTTCAGAGCCCTGAAGATTCCTACGTTTCTCTCCCCTTTCGCACTGAGGTCTCATGGCATGGCCTCCGTAACAGGGATCAAGGAGGGTCAAGGGTGGTGGTGTTCCCCTAGGAAGCCACCCGTACTGTGACTCGGCTCCCAGGGGTGCTGGCTGAGTGCCACGAGCAGCTGCCCTTTGCTTTATCACTTCTTTGGCTGCTGCGGAGGCTCCTTAACATTTCCTGTCCTACATCCACGGGAGGATGATAGCGTTGGAAATGGTAATTGAGAGCACTTCAGCAGGCCAGCCTGCATCCTTGCTGCATCTTGATGGCTTTCAACAGATATGCCCCCAAATCAAAGTGCCTAAGTGCAGAGAGGCAGCTTGGCTTTGGGGCTTTATGGGTTTATTTATGGGCCATGAGACCATTTCTAAGACAACAGAAATTGGAGGGTTTAATTGCATTGCCCCAGGTGGGTAAATGTGAAAACCCGGAAGAACAGAGGTGCAGTCTGTGTATCATAGCATTTTAACCAGCCGTAGGTGAGTTGTTGTAGGCAGAGAGGGGTGGTCGTGGCCCCTCGTGCCTCTTTAAAGCTTCTTGCAGCCTGTGGGCCCTTTAGACACAGCATATAGAGATGCACGTTCGTAAGCGGGAGCGTCTCTGTCCTTCCTTTGTCCTTGCAGACCTTGGTGTTTACGGTGGCCCGTGGTCGAGCTGCAGCTCCGTGTTTCGGGTTTTATTGAGGCCATGAGCGTGTGCGAGCCGGGCGTCCTGCCTCCAGCCTCAGCGGAGGGCGGAAAATGGGAGCGTTTTCCAGCGTAAAAACTCCCATCACAGAGATCGCGTCTACACAAAACTGAGTTTGAAACTGGGCCTTCATTTAGCATGTTAATCTCTACTACAGCCCATTAAAACTGCTAAGGTTAAAACCAAATAATACTCAAGCTTGTATACGTTTGCTGCCTGAAAACTGGAATGAAAACCAGACCCCAGAAGTGGCAGGAGTCAGTGTCTCGGGAGGTGGAACTAGAAGTTGTTGAAATGCTAAATGAGCTGTTGATGATGATAAAGATTTTTTTATAATGTCAGTTTATTCAGGTACTTGACTTCAGTCTCTCAAATTTAATAATCATTTGGGAATTTGAAAATTGCCTCTTTCAATCTCTGTGTAAAAGGAAGGTGTGAAACAGTCAGATTTTCTAATACTGAGGTTGTAAAGGATGTTATGAACAGAAGCAGCAAAAGAATTTAAGTACAGATGTTACTTTCCATGTTCTCTTAAACTGTACATTCAAAATGCAGGTGTATTGTACAGATACGTTTTCTTTAGATTATCTCACGTATTTCAACTTCGTTTAACCATATCTTTTAACTGTTATTTTTGTAATTTCCTTTTATGATGTATTTTATAATTACTATCAAATGAACTGGATATACCTGCTAATAGAGAATTTCATTTACTTTTTCGACATGAAACTATAAACATTGAGATTATGGGTAAGAGTGTTTAGCTGCTAATTTATTTGTAACTGTGCAGATGTGTGTATGTACAGTATATGTGCTGATATAGTGTATTTTCTGACCGGCAAATTTGTATCGACAGACGAGGCTCAGCCTTACTTTAAGGTAATATTGAGCACAAGTGCAAAATGAGGGTGAATTGGTTTCAGCCTGGGTTTCCTTGAGCACTGGGGTTGCTTCCCCGGACGCGGGGGTCCTGCTCCTGGCCTGCAGACGCAGCGGAGCCGCTGCGGTGATGATGGTCCCGCGCAGTGCGCTCTGCTCCGCTCGCTCCCACCGGAGCAGGGGCCGCTGCGTGACGTGCGGCTGCTCCTGGGCTGCTGTGATTTATGCACCGACCTTGGAGTGGGAAGGGATGCTGATTCCTACCAAATTTAGGGCTCAGCCATAGACGTGCAGTCCCTGCCCAGCTGCGCTCAGGGTAAGCAGGGAGGGGATGGACGAGCCACCTCGGGAACCATGGCCGGAGCTCAGGGGACTTTCCAGGTGGAGCGTGTTGGGAACAGGAGAGCCAGGGAGCTCGCGGCAGGGACCGGAGCAGCACAGGTTGGCTTCTGAGCGCTGTTCAAGCCGTGCTCTGTGAAGACTGTATTAAGGCAATCCTAGCTGAAGGCCGGGGTGGGAATGGTGGCTCACAAAGCCGCTATCAGAGAGCTTGTCACAATCCTACCCAAGGCAACAGTGGAGATGTGCCAGTGCTCGCCTGCCCTATCGAGATATTCCTGTGCTGCAGCTTTCTTCTAGCACAGGTTTTGTGTGGCTGTGGAGCTCAGTGCATTAGAAATCACCTGCCAAAACCTGTATTAAAGCTGATTGTGAATTGCTGAAAAGTGAAGAAATTGAGGCTTGTTTCCCATGGCAACTTTAACTCGGCGCTCTCGTGCATAAGTATCACAATGGAATATTAATCCGCAATTACCTGCGTTCATGCAGCTTAGACTTGGGAGTTTTTTTGTATATATAGATCTCAATTCAGCTTTGTCCAGTGTTGCTACAACAGGAGCACCATTAAAATGTGTGCAACACGCTTGCTTAAAGGCTTTTTTCTTTTAGTAGAAGTATATATTATGTTTTTGTCAGTTGTGGCTTACTTTATACCCTTTATTTAATGAAACTACATGGCTACTGTTATTGTGTTGTGATGTTTTAAGTTCCTAGAGTGGTGGGAAATAACTCA